TGCTGATGTTTTTGGATTCCATGGCTTGACTGTTTTTAGTGTCTTTTGGTGAACTGAGTTCTGAAATTTAATAAAGCTCAGGATCAGTGTCCTCTTTAACGATAGTTCTTTGAGTGTCATGTTTGAAAGATCTTTCCCTACTCCAAGATCATGAAGATACTCTCCTGTGTTGTTAGTAGTTGCTTGATTATTTGAGCTTGACTCACCCGGAATTACTTTTGTATATGGTACGAATTAAGTGTCAAGGTTTGTATTTCCATATGGATGTGCACTTGCCCTAGCACCGTTTGTTGAAAAGACCATTTTCTGTCCACCGAGTTGCAGTAGGGGCTCTGTTCAACCAAGTGACCATATATATATATGTGGGTCTGTGTCTACACTGTATCCTCTTCCTTTGATCCAGTGATTTTTCTTTTTTGCCCATACTGCACTTTCGTAATTACTGTTGCATTACAGTTAAGTCATGAAATACAGTAGTGTGAGACTTTGAGTTCTACTTCTTAAAAAATTTTATTGGCTAATTTAGGTCCTATGTGTTTACATAAAAATTTCATCAGTTTCTACTGAAAATCCTGCTGGGGTTTTTTTAGAGTACAGGTGAAATCTGACATGTTTCATTACATTTACTCCTATGTATTTGTTCTGTTTTGATGTTGTTGTAAATAATATTTTAAAATTTCATTTTCTAGTTGTTGGTTTATTAAAATACAATGGATTTTTAATATTGATCTTGTATCTAGCTGTTTTGTTACATTCAATTATTAGCTTATTTTGGTAGACTTTTGGATTTTAAATATGTCTTTTGCAAATAAAGAAAATTTTGCTTCTTCCTTTTCAATCTTTGTCTTTCATTTCTTTTTATTTTTCCAGTACAATATGGGATACAAGTGATGATAATAAACATCCTTTTCTTCTCCCTCACCTATGGGGGAAAATACTCAATAGTTAACCATTTTTACCAGTCTGATTTTAACTGTAGGGGTTTTTTTTTGCACATGCCCTTCATTAGAGTGAGGAAGTTCTCTTTCTGTTTCTAGTTTGCTGAGAATTTTTTATCACACATAGGTATTAAATCTGGTCAAATGCTTTTCTGCATCTAGTGAGATAATACAATTTTGTTTCTTTATTCTGTTAAAGGGGTGACCTGCGTTGATTGATTTATCAGTGTTTAACCAATCGTGCCTTCCTGGGATGACTCACACCTGGTTGTGATGTACTATCCCTTAATATGTCTCTAGATTCAATTTGTTAACATTTGAATAAGTATTTTTGAGTGTACATTAATGGAGAGATAATTGGCCTGAACTTTTCCTTTCATGTCCTGGTCAAGTTTTGCCATTAAGGTTATGCTTTCATAAAATGAGTTGAGAAATGGTTCTTCATTTTCTGTTCTGTGGAAGAGTTGAAAATTGCTGTTATTTCTTCTGAAATGTTTGGGAGAATATTACTAGTAAAGCGTCATGGCCTTGGGGGTTTTTTTAAGGCTGTTTTAAAATTATGAATTCGATTTCTTCGATAGAGAAAATCTGAATAATCCTATTTTTCTGGTTTCCTTTTTTAAATAGTTTTATAGAGATGTAATTCCCATACCATACAATTCACACATTTAAAGTATACAGTGCAGTGATGTTTAGTGTATTCACTCTTGTGCAGTCATCACCACAATTTCAGAACATTTTCATCACCTCAGAAAAAAGCTCTAAACAGTTACCTATCCTCTCACCTCTCCCAGCATACCCCAACCCCAGCCCTAAGCAACCAGTAATCTACATTTTGTCTCCGTAGATTTGCCTAGTGTGAACATTTCAGACAAATGATTTGTATGTGGTCTTTGTGACTGAGTCTTTCGCTTTGTGTAATTTTCAAAGCTCCATTATATGGATATGCCGCATTTTGTTTTTCCATTCAGCAACTGATGGACATTTGTGTGGTTTTTACCTTTTGGCTGTTCTAGATAGTGCTCCTGTTAACATTCAAGATATGTATACACACACAAGTTTTTGTATGAATGCCTGTTTTTTATTTCCCTGGGAACTGAATCTACAAGTAGAATTGCTTGGTTATCTGGTAACACTTACGTTTATCTTACTTAGGACTGCCAAACTGGTTTCCACAATTACACCATTTTACATTCCCACCGGCAGTGCACTGGGGCTCCAGTTTCTCCACATTGTCACCACCACTGTTACTTTCCTTTTGATTTTGATTTATGGCCATCTTAAGTGAGTGTGAAGCAGTATTCATTTGGGGCTTTAGGTTTTGATTTGTATTTCCCTGATGACAGCTTTGAGCATCTTTTCACGTGCTGATTGGCTATTTGTGTATCTGGCTTTGGAGAAATGTCTATTCAAGTTCTTTGCTCATTTTTAAATCAGCTTGTCTTTTTGTTGTTCAGTTGAAGAGTTCTTTATATATTTTGACATTTATGACATATATAATTTGTGAATATTTCCTCCCATTCTGTGGGTTGTCTCTTCACTATTTTGATAGTGTTCTCCGATAACGCAGTTTTTAATTTTGTTGAAGACTTTTTTTTGTTTAGTTTCTTGTGCTTTTTGTGTAACATCTAGGGAAATATTGCCAAATCCAAGGTCATGAAGGTTTATGCCTGATTTCTTCCAGAAGTCTGATAGCTTAAACTTTATATTTAGATCTCTGACCCATTTTGAGAAATTTTTGAATCTGTGGCATGAGGTAAGATTCCAGTTTTATTCTTTTGCATGTGGCTATCCAGTTTTCCCAGCATCTTTTGTTGAAAAGACTACCTTTTGCTATTAAATGACTGTGGGTTTCTGTCTGGACTGTCAGTTCTATATTCGATGGACCCATATGTCTGTCTTTACACTAGTACCACCCCATCTTGACTACTGTTGCTTTAGAGTTAAGTTTGAAATCAGGAAGTACAAGTCCTCCAACGTGTTCTCTTTTAAGACTGTTTTGACTGTTCAGGGTCTCTAGCAATTTCATGAGTTTAGGACTGACATTTCTGCAAAAAGGCCATTGAGATTTTGATAACACTTCATTGACTCTGTGTATCACTTCGGGGAAAATTACCATCTTAATATTAAATCTTTCAGTCCACTCACATAGGTCATCCTTCCATTTATTTAGATTTTCTTTAATTCCTTTCAGCAATGTTTCCTAGTGTTGGGTGTACAAGTCATGCACCATCTTGGCTAAATTTATGCTTAGTATTTTATTATTTTTGATTCTATTGTAAATGGAATTGTTTTCTTAAGTTTTTTATTGTTCACTGTTAGTGTATAGAAATACAAATGTTTGTGTTGATCTTGAATCCTGAAAACTTGCTAAGATTGTTGTTAGCTATAAGTTTTTTCTAGATTATTCAGTGTTTATATATATATATATATATTTATACATTAGATTATGTAGTCTGAATAGAAGTAGTTTTACTTCTTTCTAATTTTAAAGTCCTTTTAAAATTTTTTGCCGGTTTGCTCTGGCTAGAACTTCCACTACAACTGCTAGAAATGGTTACAGTGGACATCTTTGTCTTATTCCTGACCTTTGAAGGAAAACTTACTATGTTTTAGCATTGTATATGATGTTAGTTGTGGATTGTTATATGTGCTTCTTACTGTGTTGAGGAAGTTCCCTTTTATTCTTAGTTTGTGAATGTTTTTATCATGGTGCTGGATTTTGTCAGATGTTTTTTCTGCATCAGTTGATATGATCATGTGGTTTATTTCCTTCATTCTATTACTGTGTTTACTATGCTGATTGAATTTTGCTGAGTCACTTTTCTCTTGTTGCTTTCAAGTTTTTTTAAATTGAAGTATAGTTAGTTACAGTGTGTCAATCTCTGGTGCACAGCATAATGTCCCAGTCATATATACATATATATGTGTGTGTGTGTGTGTGTGTATGTATATATATACACACATATATACACACACATATATTTGTTTTCATATTCTTTTTCATTAAAGGCTATTATAAGATACTGAATATAGTTCCCTCTGCTAGACAGAAGAAATTTGGTTTTTTATCAATTTTTATATATAGTAGTTAATATTTGCAACTCTCAGACTCCCAAATTTATCCCTTCCCACCCCCTTTCCTCCATTAACCATAAGATTGTTTACTATGTCTGCAAGTCTGTTTTGTAGATGAGCTCATTAGTGTCTTGTCTTTTTTTTTAAGATTCCACGTATGAGTGATATCATATGGTATTTTTCTTTCTCTTTCTGGCTCACTTCACTTAGAATGACAATCTCAAGGTCCATCCATGTTGCTGCAAATGGCATTGTTTTGCTCTTTTTTATGCCTGAGTAGTATTCCATTGTATAAATATATCACGGCTTCTTTATCCCATTCTCTGTCGATGGACATATAGGTTGTTTCCATGTCTTGGGTATTACATATCGTGCTGCCAAGTTTCATTCTTTGTCTTTCTGCCCTTTTTGCTCTCTCCTGTCCTCCTCCATTTTCCTTCATTCTTTTTACTGTTCTCAGATTGGGTCATCTCAATAGATTTATGTTCAAATCAGCATATTCTTCTGCCTGTTTAGATATGCTCTTGATCCATCTAGGGGATTTTTCTCTTCAATTATTGTACTTTAAAATAGTTGATGAAAAGTCTTGGTCTGGTAAGTCCAGTGTCTAAACTTCCTTAGAGACAGTTTTTACACTGTTTCATACGTAGTTTTTTCCCCCCTGTATAGAAGCCATACTTTCTTACCTGTTTGCATGTCTCAAATTTTTGTTGAAAACTGGACATTTACAATATAATGTGTACTTTGTAATCAGAATCTCCCCCCCACACACACACAGCTGTTCTTACATATTTGTTTAGTGACTCTTTTGGCCTAATTCTGTAGAATCAGTATTCTTTGTCACGTGTGGCCACTGAAGTCTCTGCTCCTGTATATTCATTTGTTTTAAGCTCTTTACAGTAAGCATAAGAAATGTTTTCATGTGTATTTTGTGTGTCATCTAATTCTGAACCCTTCAGACTGAACAGAGATGTGCTCTTGCAGGCATCAGTATCATTCAAGGACGTGACTGTGGAGTTCACCGAGGAGGAGTGGCAGCAAATGGGTCCTGTTCAGAAAACCCTGTACAGAGATGTGATGCTGGAGAACTACAACAACCTAGTCTCAGTGGGTGAGCTTATAAGCATGACTTACCCTCACAACTCCATGTAGAAGGCATTTCCTTTTTGTGCACCAGTGCACAGGAATACTTTAGGTGTTAATGTTGTTTTGCCTTTTCACTCAGGAGTATAATGTAGCTAAGCCCTGGTGAGAAATAGAAAGTGTCTGTGTTGTCAACTCCCAGTGATAAATTCGAAGGAAGACCTTCAGGATACTGTTCCAGAAGTTTTTCCACTTTTGGAGACTGAAAATCTCATTATCTGGCCTAAGTACTCCCTTGTTGCCTGTTTGTAGTTAACTGCATTTTCAAACCAGAGGTGATCTTCAAGTTGGAGAAAGGAGAAGAGCCTTGGTTCTCAGAGGAAGAATTCTCAAACCAGAGCCACAGAGGTGAGTTACTGAGCACTAACAGAATTTTGTAGGGTAGTCAGACTCCAGGAAGACAGTTTAGCAGTGAACACCTTTGCATTTCAAGACTTTTCTTACAAGCCTCAAAGGTACAAGAAGCACCAGTCAAAAGAAAGTGATGAATAAACTTAACTACATTAAAATTGAGAGTTTTGTTCCTAAAAGATATCTTTAAAAGGATGAAAAGACAGGGCACAGAATAGCACAATATGTGTACAGTACAAGTAACCTAGAAAGGATAAGCATCCTGAAAGTGTGAAAACTGCAAGTCAGCACAGAAGAGTGCAGCAGCCCGACTGAAATACAGGTGAAGGGCTAAACAGGAACTTTCAAACAGCCATGCAACCTTTCAAAATGTGTTCAACCTCGTTACATTTCACGGAGTGTAAAATAAAGTATAAGGTGAGATAAGTGACACGCATGATATGAAATGAGATTAACAGATCTGGCCACGGCAAGTCCCAGTGAGGATGTGAAGTATTAAAGACCCTTATTAACTGACTGAAAAGGTAAACTGATAAAATCTCTGTGCAATCAGGAGGATGTTACCAAATACAGCTGAAGTTTTGCACACCTGTAACCAGGCAGTCATTTTCAACTGTGTCCCTTACAGAGAGGCATGATGGGATTCTCTAGAATGAGTAAAACGATGTTTATGACAATGTTGCTTATTTTTGCTAAAGGTTGGGTTCCTTAGCAACAGAATGAAGGAATAGTTACTTCTTAAGGGAGAATTACACAGTTATATGAAGTCTTACACAGTAATTGCAGACAAAATATTAAGCAAAAATATAAATATGCATGTATGGTTACATTTATGTAAATGTCAGGGAACAGACAAAACTCAGTTCTAGTTTTAGGTGGTAAAACTACAAGGACAATTAGGATTGTTAGGAGAGTGGTAAGCTCTTCAGCATGAGGAAGTTGTACCTGGGCAGGGATAACTGGGGATTTTTCCATTTATGTTCTCTTTCTTGACATGGTTTCTAATTCCATGACTGTTCAGTCTTTACTGTGAAATTGCACGTATAAGTTTTATGCAAATATAAATTGTTTCATGCTTAACAGAGAGTTGAAGAATGAGCCAAAAGTAACAGGTAATATTCACAATTTATTTAAGCCATAAATGATAGGCATCTAGAATGCATAAAGAATGTGGATCTTTTTTAAGTATCATCTTTGCATTAAGGCCTTCCATGAAACTCCACTTAAAATTGTATTCCTCATATGAAACTGAAATGTAGAAATTTTGAATGAGGTGATCAGATTCACTTATCTTCAGTTTTCATAGATGGAATAAATCAAAGTAACCACAGCCAGAATTGAGCAGTGAATCTAGTTTAATTGCAAGAATCAACTTACTTTTCATCAGTTTTACACTTGTTTGTATTTCTGTGACTCGCAGCTGCAAAATGGGTTAAATCCTCCACTATTAGTTCTTCATTTAATTAAGAGGAAGTTGCTGCTGTCAGTTGGATTCTGAAGGATTGAATGGAAATAAGGAATGCTATCAAATTGAAGTATGAAGACTCTTGAGCATTCGACCACTATAGCCTAATGTTGGACCTCTATTGTAATTTACTTCCTCAAACCAAGCCACTCCCCTGTCGAGCCTAGCCCGTCAATGCCCGTTTTCTCCTAATTGTTGTTATTCTGCTCAGGTTTATAAGTCCTTGTTGTAGTCACTGTCTGGTTTTCCTGCTCCCTAAAATAATCACTCCCATAAAAGTCAAATTTCTCTCCCTTTTCCACCCAGGTAAGAAGATCCAGTTTATCACAATCCAAATACAAACATGTATTTACAACCATCAGCATTATTTTTTAAAGGAGAGTGAATATGTAAATTTCCTCTCTCGCTCTCTCTCTCACACACACCCCCTAGTTATGTTGAGAAACAAAAAAACTGACATGTAACATAGGCTGTATGTTGATAATCCCCACCCATATGAAATGTTAAGATTCATATAATGTTTATACAATGTTTCTGTTTTAGATTACAGAGACAACAATGTAATCAGAAAGAACAAGAAAATCAAAGGCAAACACTTGCAACAAGTAACATGTGGCAATAATAAACCATTGACTAGAGAGGAAGACGAAGTTTTGAGAATACCATTTAATCTGCACGTTGCTCCTGTTTCCTCCACAAAAATGCCCTGTAGATGTGACTCAAGGGGAGTTAGTCTGCAAAATATTTCTCAATTTATCATTAATAATAGGACATACTCAACAAAAGAGACAGATTGTTATAATGTATGTGAAAATTTGCCTCTCAAAATTAAGTTTGAGAGAACTCATACTGGAGAGAAGTTTCATGAATATAATAAAAATGGAGAAACCCTCCATTATAAGGAAAATCTTTCTGAGCATCAAAAATGTCAAACACTGAAGCAAGCTTTTGAATTCGATGAGATTGAAAAAGCCTTCTATAATGAGGCCGCCTGCTTTAAACGTCAGAGTGCTCCCACAGAAGAAGAATCCTGCGAAGATGATGAATTTAGGGAAAACTGTGATAAAACAACTCTGTTTGACCCCAGAAGAACTGGGACAGGGGAGAAACACTCTCATCTCAGCCAGTGTGGGAACTCCTGTGAGAAGCTGGCTGTCAAGGAGTTCAGTAAACTTCACATGACTGTGAAGTACTGTGAATGTACTGCAAGTGGGAATAACTTCGGCAGGAAGTCACACCTCACTCAACCTCAGGGAGCTGTCCCAGAAGAGAACCCACCGGGGTGCAACGGCAGAACACAAACTGGGTCACATAAGCCCTTTGAAAATCAGGAAAATAGGAGGTCCTACCAGACAACAGCCCACAAAGTGCGCCAGAGAACTCACTCTGAAGCAAAACCCTATCAGTGTCCTGAGTGTGGGAAGTCCTTCTGTCAAAAAGGACACCTCATTCAACATCAGAGAACTCACACGGGAGAGAAACCGTTTGAATGCAATGACTGTGGGAAAACCTTCTCCCAGAAGTCACACCTCCGTACACATCAGAGAATTCACACAGCAGAGAAGCCCTATAAGTGTAATGACTGTGGGAAAACATTTGTCCAGAAGTCAACCCTCAGGGGGCATCAGCGAATTCACACAGGAGAGAAACCCTATGAATGTTGCGAATGTGGGAAAACTTTTGTTCAAAAGTCAACCCTCAGAGATCATCAGAGAATTCACACAGGGGAGAAAGCCTTTCAATGTAATGAATGTGGGAAAACGTTTGGCCAGAAATCAAACCTCAGAATACATCAGAGGACTCATAGTGGTGAGAAAACTTATCAGTGTAAAGAATGTGAAAAATCCTTCTGGCGAAAAGACCATCTCATTCAACATCAGAAAACGCACACAGGAGAGAAGCCGTTTAAATGTAATGTATGTGGGAAAACTTTCGCCCGGACATCAACCCTCAGAGTTCATCAGAGAATTCATACTGGGGAGAAACCATTTATATGTAACGAATGTGGGAAAAAATTTGTCCGGAAGGCAATCCTTAGTGATCATCAGAGAATTCATACAGGGGAGAAACCCTTTCAGTGTAATAAATGTGGGAAAACTTTTGGCCAGAAGTCAAACCTCAGAATACATCAGAGAACTCACAGTGGGGAAAATTTTTCTGAATGTAATGAATATGGAAAATTGCATAAGAAGTCAATCTTAAATGTATGCCAGAGAACTCAGGGAGCAGAAAAACCCTATTGATACAAGAATTATGGAAAATCCTTCTGGACCAACCCATTTGACAGAAAATTCACACGGGAGAGGAACATATTTATATGAATATAGAAAGACTTTTACCCAATACAAAACCCGGAGAGTAGTATCAGAATTAACACAAACTTCTATTTCAAGGGACTACGGAAACCCTACCGGATGGAGTCATGCCCTGTTCGATCACTCACACCACATGTGCTGGTAATCTTCCCATTCGTAGGAATTACATTTTCCTTCTTGGTGCACAGCTAATCTAAATGTCGCGATCTCCCTTTGATCTGAGTGGGGTTTGGGCCTGCCTAGTGGACTGTGAACGCTCCTGTTGTGTGCCACACCCAGCTCTTGACGAGTTCAAGGCCTCCCTGGTCCCAGCAGCATCTCAGCCAAACTTGAGATAGTTGCAGCTGTCCCTTAGTGGGGACGTGTACCCCGGACCTCGCTGCATGGAGCAACGCTCCTGGCTCAGTAGGGCCCTCGATTCATAGGAACCATAACTGGGCCTAATGGTCTGGCCAGTTGAAACCACGTGGACATGTGACTATTTGCCCTCATGCCATTATGCAGACCCCAAAACTGCATGATGATGCAGCTGCTCCAGTCACTGGGCGGAACACGAGGATGTTCTCAGCTCTGGCCAGGATTCCCTTTGATGAAACTTGGTGCATTGTCACTGGCTCTTGCCCTCTTACTGTGCCTAGTAGCTATTTGACGTGTCTGTTGTAAAATTATAGGCCTAAAAAAGAACCCCTGTGTGGTGCCGTGAACTGTGGGGGGAAAAGTGACAGCTGCTGAGCACAGGGTGGACTCACATGGTAAGAGACTATTCTCTGGTAAGACTGACTGGAACCAAGCTGCCGATCAAGCCCCCACTACCCTGATAGCCAGCATTGCTACCTGGACCCACCATCGTGCTAATGGCAAAAATTCGCCACCTTACCCTGGATACAAAGTAAGAGTCTTTATATATATCCAGTGCCTCTTTTGATGTCATTTGATAAAAGGATGACAGTTTTTTTCTTCTGGATTAGTAGCCAGTGCTCCGTATGCCATTTGATCAGTTCGCCCTTTTCTACTGATTTTAAATATCTTCATATACTAACTTGTCATTTGTAAAGATACTGCATATGGCTACTTATGACCCATTTCCAGTGTTCTTTTGTATTAGTAACATTCTCCTATGAACAGGGATGGCACATACCTCTTATGAGCCAAACTACTCTGTCTTTCTGGTCTGGCACTGAATCAAGTTTAGAAAAGGGGAATACTTACAAGGACTTTGGGGATGTAACATCACAGGCCAGTTACACTGTTAGCTCCAGAGCTGCCAGCAGCCTTGCCAAGGAGATTCACCTGTAATAAGATCATGTCCAGTTAATACTATATACCCTGATGAGAGATGACTGTGTACTCCATTTTATAGCAGTTGGTAATATTATAAGGAAAGTCATTCTTTGATACAATTTTTCTCAGTTTAAGAAACTTAAGAGTCATCTTCATGCCTTGTTTAAAATGTTTTAGGATTATGATTGGATTTGCTATTAAGTTTGGGATCATCTACCCACCAGGATGGAACCAGTTCACCCAAGTGGCCTGAATGGGAGGCCAGGTGACAAAAGTCCCACAGTGGCACTTAGGCTTCATCTGCTGCCCCCTTGCTGGGGACACCCACCACTCCACATAATACATTATTAACTGGAGGCTGTGGTCTGTGCTGGAGTCACAAATGCCCCATTCTCCCTGCCTGGTTGACCTCCCTTCCAAGTGCTAACTTTTATTCCAGTAGGTGGGTCCCTCGACCAGGTACTGGCAGTCAGTTTTCTGTTTGCCTGCCTTCCAAGGGTCTTCAAGCTAGGAAGAGAAGCCTCCAGGAGGGCAGGAATTTGTATCTGTCTCATTCACAATGTGTCCCAAACATGAATAGTCCCTCTGCATATTGAGCACTCAGAAATACTTGAAGGTAGAATTATCAAAGTAATATCTGAGCATTTTTTTCTTTTGATGCCTCAAATTATATTTTGAGATAATTCATCATTTATTGTAAATAGTTAAGGGAAGTTATTGCTGTAAGCTCCCACTCAGACTTGAATATTTTCTAAAGTCGCTAAAAGAAACATAACTTGTTCTTAATATTCAGAAGTGTACGGTACTGTTCTTCAGATATCTTGCAGCCAAGACAATTTATTTTCAATAATCTAGTATTCCTAGTTCAAAATTATGTGTACAAATCTGTTGGGTTTTATTAGCACCGGAGAGTACAGACTGTGGGGAGGGGCAGGGGCAGGTGGGGGGCTCTGCTTCCACACAGATACTTCTTAAGTACACGTTCAAGCAAATGTGCAAAATGGTAATAATGACAAATTGGCTTTTCAATATCAACCAAATGGGAAAGCAAAGTAATTATTTCTTGGGATCATCTCTTTAATCCATTACACCAATAGTTCCCCTCACTTTTACTTCCACATCACCCTGCTGACAATTACAAGAAGGTTTTTATTTTCTCAGGTTCAAGAGTCTACCTCCTAGGAGACATGTCAGACCCCCACAGAAGGACTGTGACACCTGTTCTGATCTGCCTCCATGTTTGTCTTTCCTTGCCGGGTGAATAGTGCCTTACCTCTCACATTCAAGGTCGCTCTGGAGGCCCAGCAGAAGTGCTGTATACTGCCCTTCTACTCAGGCAGCTTCACATAACCAGGGAGGAACAAATCTTTTCTTGTTGAAGGCAGTATAGTCTTCAAGTGCCATTAACCTCCGTGGTCAACTGGCTAGCTTAGTGGTCTTCCAGTGTTTTAAGGAGCTGACTGTAAACTGACAACAGTATAATTAGCTTAATTATCAGCTCACTGGCTTGATACCCAATGAATAAACTTAAGAAACTACCTGGCCTGACTTTGTGGCAATTCTACGTGTGTGTGTGTGTGTGATCCCCAAAAGTACTGAAAAAGTTCAAACAAAAACTAGTATATGAATGTCATAGCAGCACTACTCACAGTAGCCAGAAGATGGAAACAACCCAAGGGTCCATCAGCAGATGAATGGATAAACAAAGTGTGGTGTATCTGTAAAACAGAATACTATCCAGCCATATAAAAGGAATGAAATACTGACACACAATACAACACAGATAAACCTGGACACATGCTAAACTAAAAGAAGCCAAACACTAAAGGTAGACTTCACAGAAAAAAAAAATTTCCAAGGTATAACGTGACATTACATGGTAGAAGGCGCTACCCACCAGGAATACAGGAGTCCTGTATGCATAAAACAACATCAACATACATGAAGCCAAAACTGAGAAACAAATTAGTATGGTTGTTGAATTCAACATTCCTCCCAGCAATTGATAAGATCACTAAATAGGAAATCAGCAAGACTATGAAAGAACTGAACAGCACTTCAAGCAATTGAACATAATTAGCACTTTACAGAATGAGCCACCCAGCAACAGAGGAATATACATTTCAAGAACAAATGAAACACTCAATAAAACAGACCATATACAATGAAAAACTGTAAAATTTCAAAAATTGGTATCTTCTGGCTATACTGAAATCAAACAAGAAATGAATAACAAAAAGATAAGAAAGTCTTAAAACACTTGGAAATTTATACTGAAACCAAACTAGAAATAACAAAAAGATAAAGTCTTAAAACGCTTGGAAATTAAACAACACATTTCTAAATATTCCATGGGGCAGAGGAAGTTGCAAAGGAAATGAAAACAATTTGAACTGAATGAAAAGGAAAAAACTTGTTAAAACTGCATTAGAGCTAAAATAATGCTGAGTGAGAAATTCATACTGCCAAAACTTAACATTAGAAAAGAAGGGTCTCAAATTGATAGTCTAAGCTCTCATCTCAAGAAACAAAAACAGCAGAGTGAAATAAATCCAAAGCAAGCAGAAGCAAAGAAATAGTTTAAAAGCAAGAGTCAATCATGTTGAGAACAGGAAATCTAAGAAACCGGAACTTCATCCTTTGAAAAGAGAAATAAAATTGATATAACTACTGTGACTAGGAAAAAAAAACCAGGATACAAATTACCAAATTCAGGACTGAAAATGATGATATCACTATACAAATATTAAAAGGATATTCAGGGGACACTACAAAAAACTATATGCATCAATTTGACACTTTGTGTGAAACTGACCAATAGTGAGATTAATATCTCAAAGCCACAAATTACTAAAACTCACTCAAGATAAAACAGATAATCTAAATTTTTCTGTAACTATTAAACAAATAGAATTCAAAGTAAAAAAGCCTTCCAGAAAAGCAATATTCAGGCCCAGATGACTGTAATCAAGAATTCTTCCACATTTAAAGAATTAGTACCAGTTCTACCCAAACTCCTTGAGAACAGGAGAGAATACTTTACAACACACTTAGGAGGCCAGTATTACTTACACTAAAACATGACAAAGTTTAAAAAGGAAAAAAGAGAACTAAAGTTATATCTCTCATAAATTTATATTTTAAAATCCATAAAAGTTTATTAATCAAATCTAGCAATATATACAAATATCACAACAAAGTAGAATTTATTCCAGAAATGCCAGGCTCATTCAACATGTGAAAACAAATTAATGTAATCCACCATATTAAACTAAAAAGAAAAATGACATCATATCAATGCAGAAAAAGCATTTGACAAAATGCAATTCCATTTAATGTTTAAAAAAACACAGCAAATCAGGAATAGAGGAGAATGTCACCAACTTGACAAAGATCATCTATTGAAAACACAGCTAACGTACTTAATAACAAAAGACTGAATGTCTTCCTCTCAAAACAAGGACCAAAGCAAAGATGTCCATTTTCATCATTCTTATTCAACATAGTACTGGAAGTCTAGCCAGCACAATAAGTCAAAAAAAATGACATATAGGTTGTAAAAGAAAAATATAAAGTTTTACCTATTTACATATGACATTAATTGTCTATATATGTACAAAATCCCAAGGTATCCAGAAAAAAAAGCCTAAAGCTAAAAACTTCCTAGAATTAATAAGTTAATTAAAGGTTGCAGGTTACAAGATCAACACAAAAATAAATTACATATCTATTTCCTACACACACACACACACACACACACACACCCCTAAACCTAAAACCCAATGCAGAATTTCCAAATGGATCAACAGCTTTCAATATAAAATATAAAACTAAAAAACTTTAGAAAAAATGGTAAATATTTTCCCCAAACTGAGTCATGGCAACATACTCATGATAAATAGAAGATAAATACAGAATAGAAAATTGATACACTGGACATCAAAATAAAACATTTACTCTGTGAAAGTAAGAAGATGAAAATACAAGCTACAGACAAAATGATTTGCAAACTATATGTCAGAGGACTTTGCATCGCAACTATAGAAAGAATTTTTAAAATAGTAACAAAATAACCCAGTTAAAAAATGGACACAAGGCATGAAAAGAATCTCTAGCAGTGAGAATACACTGATGCCTACTGCGTGATTTTTAATTTTCTGTATACAGTGATGTTTTGACATCTTTAAAAACCCTTTCTGGCTGAGAAAAGACTGCTCTTCCTGGGACAGGCCAGTTCTTAAACAGCAAATGATTCAGCTGGGAGCATGCCTTTGATGATGCAAACTATCCAGAGTTAAACCTCATCTAGCCACACACCCCAGTAGGCAGTATTCTTTACCCTTAATCATCACAGGGCCAGGAGCCAGGCAACTTGGAATCACCCCTATAAAGACCACCAGATTATTCAAAGTAGCAATGCTAAACTCCTCACTCTGCCCCTCTGGCCAAGGCTTTCCCCTTTCTCCCACCTGCTGCTGCCTTACCAAGCCTGGCGTTACCCCCATGGCCCTTGTGGTGGGCCGTGCCTCTCACTTTTATGGGAACTGTGGGAGATATTAAACTTTTCTTTCACATTGACTTCTTCGTGTCATCAGTCACCTCCATAAGTTAAGACCCACACACAGAACAGAATGGCACATAAATGCAAAGATACTAAAGGCATCACTTGAAAATAGGGAACGGCAAATTAAAACCACAATGAGGTACCTATTAAAATGGCTAAACTTTAACCCCAGTGTTCATAGCAGCGCTATTTACAATAACCAAGACATGGAAACAATCTGAACGTCCATCCACAGATGACTGGATAAAGAAGTTGTGGTCTGTATATACAATGGAGTACTACTCAGCCATAAGAAAGAATAAAATAATGCCATTTGCAGCAACATGGATGGACCTGGAGATCATCATTCTAAGTGAAGCCAGCCAGAAAGAGAAAAATACGATATGATATCACTTATACATGGAATCTAAAAAAAAAAAAAAAACCCACAAGTGAACTTATTTACAAAACAGAAAGACTCATGACATAGAAAAACAGTTACCAGGGGGAAAAGGGGTGGGAAGGGATAAATTGGGAGTTCGAGATTTTCAGATACTAACTACTGTATATAAAATACATAAACAACAAGTTTCTACTGTATAGCATAGGGAATTATATTCAATATCTTGTAGTACCTATAATGGAAAAGGGTATAAAAACAAATATAGGTATGTATACATATGACTGAAACATTATGCTGTACACCAGAAATGGACACATTGTAAACCGACTATACTTCAATTTACAAGTGGTAAAAAACAAAACAAAACAAAACAAAAAACCAAAACCTAAAGTTTAAAATACTTACAATAACATGTGCAAACAAGGATACAGAACAAGTAGATTTCTCACATATTGTTGATGGCAATGAAAAATGGGAAAGGCACTCTGGAAATAGTTTTGCAGCTTCTTACAAAATTAAACATACACTTACCATACAACCAAGAGAATTCTCACTCCTGGGCATTCATCATAGAAAAATAAAAAATTCATGTTCATGCAAAAACCTGCACACATTGTTCATATCAGATGTGTTACAGTTAAAACTGGAAACGCAGATGTTCTTCAGTGGGTGAATGTATAAACAAACTATAGTACATCCACATTATGTCTTGTAGAATATTATGCAGCAGTAAAAAGGGTGAACTGTTAATATGTACAACTTCAATGAACCCCAAGGGAATTATGCTGAAAGAGGCCTGTCTAGAAGTTATATGCTATATGATTCTATTTATATGAAATGACAAAATTATAGAAATGGATACCTGATGGAAGATACCTTGTATTTTGATTGTGGTGGTGGTTACGTGGTGAATTTAAGCATGTGC